AGTTGAGATAAAAAAGTCAAGGCACGTGCGGGATTCGAACCCACGATCGTCGGCTAGATAAGCCGCTGCTCTACCACTTGAGCTATCGTGACCTCGATCCACTTGGACACTAACTTCCCATCTCAACCCCATCTTTTGAATTTTCCCTCCTTTTTGCCATTTTTCAAATGTTTAGTGTAATGTAGCAGCTGCAAGACAATCTATTTGGAGCAATAGTGGGAAGGCCCGATAACAATTCTTAGAACATACTGGCTGTAGTGGGAGGATAAGACAACGATCAACCTGATTTAGTGTCAACGGTGGCATGAAGAATCAACAAAGCTTAAAACTCAGTTGCATGTATGAGATGACGACAACTCCTTCAGAACAATTTAGTGACAGCATTGAGAAAATGATATTAAACCCTACAATAGGTGTAGGGGATATGAGACAAACCATGTTTTAGAGCAATAGTGAGATTGTAAGTCAACAATGCTCACAATTGGTTACTCCAGTGGGAAGATAACACTATGATTAACATAATTTTGAGTAATGTAATGGCTACGACACGACCTATACGATTTTGTAGCATTGTCGGAATGACAAAACTGTTCCATTGCTTTCGACTTATCACCGACTTGTCATTGCTGTCGACTCACCACTGCTTCATCCGCTAACCGAATCCATCGGGGCAAATAACAAGGGCAAATAAACCAACAGCCAAAGGTTGCAGTTTACTTATTGACAGTTAATGACAGGGGTATCATCATATTTCAATCATGTTGAGGTCGGTGATTCGGACACAACCTGATATCTGATCAAGGTAATATCCTTCACGGTATATATATCATATACAAGTATCAAACGGGTCGCTTGATTGTTTATTTCGGTAATGTGTTAGCCATATATGCCCTGTTTTGTTTCTCATTATTAAAGTGTTTCTCTAGAACTAAAAATTCTTTATAGACTAGGTGGATACAGTTATATGAAATTCTTTACAATGTTCGGGTGCGTCACTATCATTCTTTTCCGTTCCCTCCTATCTTCTCCAAGCGGAGAGTTAGCGGAGGCCGATAATTGCCGATGAGGGCGTGAATTAGCAGGAAGGCAGCTTTGCATTACTGGAACATGTGATAAATTCGCGGAGTCGGCCGTTAGCCTGCCTCCGGGCACGGCCCCGTTTAATAGCTTCATGAATCACTTGCCCCGGCCGACGACAAGGCCGTGATATCAACTCAGGTAATATCCTTCATAGTCGATTTATTTAGACCAGAGCCGGGGTAAAGTATTAGAAATGTATCCGCTTATCTCCATGGCCCGTGTTACCGTTGAAAAAAAATTCCCTAGCTCCCGCATTCCTTGCTCGGAATTTTAACTATTTCCCTTATTTTAAGCTGTCTGTTTTCGGGAAGTCCCCCCCTAAACCTCTACCGTAAGACAAAATCATTTATTACTTAGTCAGTTAAACAATATTTATTTGTACAAAGTAGGGTAGATAAGCAGACTACCTTCCCAAAATAGACAGACATTAAAGCATAGCCAAAACGCAAAATTGAAATACAATTTAAACTAAATTCACTATTTTCGTGGTCCGCTTGACCAATTAATACATGACAATTATTTAAGGTTTTTAGTTGAGATGAAAAAAAGTTAATGGCACGAGAGGGATTCGAACCCACGACCTTCGGCTAGCTATGCCGCTGCTCTACCACCTGAGCTATCGTGAACTCGATCCACTCGGACATCAACTCCCCATCTCAACCCCACCTTATGAAAAATGGCAAAAGGAGGGAAAACTCATAAGGTGGGGTTGAGATGGGGAGTTGATGTCCGAGTGGATCGAGGTCACGATAGCTCAGGTGGTAAAGCAGCGGCGTATCTAGCCGAAGGTCGTGGGTTCGAATCCCTCTCGTGCCATTAACTTTTTTTCATCTTAACTAAAAACCTTAAATAATTGTCATGTATTAAAAACTAAACTTAAAAGTAAATTTACATATAGTGTAATTACAGACATTGTATACTAATGGTGGCCTGTTGAATGACTTAACTAACACTAATTGTTTATACATATTATGACTGGAAGGAATGAATCGCCAATATCTGATGAGTCTTTGATAAAACTAGCTGGGCGAGGAATATAAGTGGACTATCCATAACTAGTGAAAAGGCACATCAAAGAGGTTAAAGTGTCTTAAATTCCGATTCAGATGAAAGTGGACACCACAGGAGAATCAATTACACCAGTAAAGGGTGTCTTTTGGTCGGAGTGGATAGAATGGTTGATGAGTAGTAAATGTCATATTGCAGGTCTTAATGTACAGCTACTTGTGCTCACAGACGTTTTGATATTATTCTCAAATACACACACTTACCCGATGGAACGCTACGCGACGCTACTCATAGCCACCCGATGCATATCCAATGTCCATTTTTCCATAAGATTGTATTACCCCCGTGCACATCTCCACGATGCCACGCAACGCTACCCTATTCTACGCGATCCCCACTGTCCATATTTTGTCGAGAAGCATCGAGTACAGTCGATTTTTATTTCAAATCATATGTATTATTGTCGTTATATTCATTACAACATATTTATTTTAATATAAACCAAATAAAGCGAGATCAAAAATTCATTAGCTTTTATTTTTTTTTAATTACTTTTAATGATTTGGTAGAAAATTGATCAAAACACTAGAATACCATCTTTTTGATATAATGATTTTAATAACAATTTATTAAATGATTTTGTTCATGGTATTTAACTAACAACGTATTACAGGGTTTGTGCTCCCCAGACCCTGCAACCTTTACCTACCTTCCTAGTTCCTTAGTTCAGTGCAATAGACTCAATCCTTCTCCTTAGAAATATCAGGATATTGACCGTCGCTGCTGCAATTTGATTCACTATGTTTTTTCCGTACGTTAGGTTGAATCTCCATTGAGCTGTTGCTAAGCATTTGAAGATGATATGGGTGGCTGTTTCCTCCTCCTCATTACATAATCTGCAAATGGGATCATCGTTGTATATCCCTGTGTGGATGTTTTCTGAAATGCCAGTGACCGGTACTTTTGTCACTCCTCTGAGTCTGACCCTCTCCAATTGCAGCAGTGCTGCTCAGTCTTGGTGAGGGTTGTTTCATCATAAGTTTACTATGTCTAGCACCGCTAGAGTTTATCCACTTTTCCTTTTGTTTTGTTTGGATCCATTCTGCGATGGAGAATTCTTTATTTGTTCTTGTTATCCCAAGAATAGGTTCGGGGCCTATGTATGGTCTGGCATATCCTCCTCTGGTCAGACTGTCTGCTTTCTCATTACCCAAAATCCCCCCCCGTGCCCTGGCACCTAAGATATTAGGTTATTGTGCTTCCGAAGGTTTTGGAGATTTTGGATGCATTCGCTGACTACTTGTGATTTGATTTTTTTACATGATAATGACTGCTTGGCTACCAGATCTTATGAGGATTTTTTGCCAGTGTAACCTCTTTCAAGATTTTCCAGAGCAAAGCATTAATGGCATGTATTTCTGTTTGAAAGACCGAAGTGTACTACCCTAATGAATTTGATTGCTCATGTTTTGGGCTTGTACAGAAAATGCCCGATCCGGTTCCTTCGTTTGTTTCGGAGCCATCTGCATACCAAATAATTGTATCTGATGCTCTCCTGTGTTCTTCCTCTCCTTTGTAGTCCATTGAGACTTTATAGGAAGTTGTGAAGATTGTTTCCCGGATCATATAATCAGTCCCCATTTCTAATAATGTTTCTGATTTTGTTGATGGTTGTATGCCCGAATTGTTTATGTTTAGTTACTATCCAACTCCGTTCAATTAATTGAGACAGAACCTCACCACTTCGAGTGCACATTCACACAATATAATAACAATCTCAATATTTTTGCTTGATGCATATTTAAAGCGCAGTTGTAAATAAATAAATGAATTTTCCGGCGATGACCTCAGCTGTTTGTTGGCCCATAAACTTCCCACTTATTATTTAAATGAATTTTAAAAAACGATATCAGAAATTTTGGTGATTTCCTCAACAATACTTCCATTATCATTTTGCGAACGTACGATTGGACTTTATAGTCTTATGCTTGGAGAAGCAGATAAATTTACTACTTTTTACCTTTAATGTCCAACTTCTTTAATAGGTACTAGTTCTCAAATGCAATCAGGTCTTCTTGAATTAGATTACAATCATTCCCACAATCCACCCTTTAACCAGCTCTGAAAGACCAGCAAGCAGCGCTAAATAACTGTTCTTAATAAGTCTAGTAACATCATTGAAGAAGATCAAAAATAAAATTGGACCGGTGTGAGATCCCTGAGGAACCCTCGAGTCAATACGAATCATATTTGAAACTTTCTGTTTTCAGTATTATAAATATCGACCATATTTCCACTCTGGACCAAGGTATGATCTTGAAAAAAATAGCAAATTTAATTGTTACTACCTATTTTAAGGTCATCATAGGGCAAAACTATCTTAAATATGTCTACAGTTTGTCATATTTAAGTTTTTATGAATCTCAAATTTTTTTGAAGACCGACTCAGTCCCAACATTGCCATAACATGAACTAACATCAGAAACACCTTTATAGGAGAAAGAAATTTATTTTTTAACTAAGAATGATTCAAACCAGGGTAGTAAGGAATACCCAATGAAATAAAGAGACTTGCAGCTTTTCGAAAAATTGTTTCAAATACATCAGTGAGACAAAAGATATACTTATCACATTAGACAGCTATAAAGTAGTAAAACATAATCTTTGTTAAACCTTAGCATTATCGCAAAAATATCAATCTATCGTTCAATAAAACATAACGAATGTTTGCGTGGTCAGCGGTACTGGCGGACCAAAATGATCTGAGGCCATAATACAATCACGTAAACTTGCAGACCTCAATACAATATCTTACAACAAAATTTGTTTTTATGACGCAAAAATAAGCGACGTGGTGTGTTAGCATGTTAAAAAATAAAATCATATCGTGATCAAACTGTTTAAATATAATATTGTACAAGTGTGATCATATGATTGCCTGATTAAGCGAAAAACCAGTCACTATTATATTTCTTTATACACAATCATTGTTAAATAATTTCAAGAGTTATTTCTTAGATTTATAGTGAGAAATGGAGCAGTTTCGAGATATTATGATGGAGGCAGATAGCGATGAGGAGGTGATTGATAACGAAAAGCTCGAGGAGCCGAAAAATCCTCTGCAGGTCGAGGCGGCCATTAAAATGCGGCTTGACAGACTCGATGAAAGTATCGGCAAAACACTGAAGTACGTCAAGAAGAGAACAGGCCACAAACCGATCCTGAGGAAGCTGAGCTTCAAGCATTGGAAGCCGGTTCTGCAGCTGATCATGAGAGCCGAGGTACTTCAGGAAGTGGTGGACCATCCGAGCTACAAGCCTGTGAGAGGCATCGCTCTCTCAATGCTGGAACAATTGGCACAGGTGAAAATAAAAAAAGACTACGTCAAAAAAGTCTGCCAGCTGGTCAAAACGCCCGTGACCGGTTTCTCGGAGGACATAATGAAAGAGCTTGTCAAGAAATTCATGGGAGAAGAAGGTATACAAGATCGTATAAATGCCATACTTAAAAAACGCAAGAAAGCAGAATTGTTCAGGGCGAAGCTCAATTCGAAAGGGGTGGTGATTTCAGACAAGCTCGAAAGAGTTCTTCAAATAAGAGAAAATTATCAGGCCCTTAAAAAAAACGTCTTGACTCAAGCCGACGAGAGATGTAAGGTGCTTAGCAGCAAAAAGCAATACATGGACGCCATGACGCATAGAAAGAAAATCAGAGATTACTTTTTAGTCACGTGGAAAAACGAATTGGAAAAGGAATGGAGTAAAATGAGCAGACAGGCGAGCAAACTAAACGCTTGCAAGCACGTAAGGAAACGTCTTAGAGAGATGAAACACAAGAAAAAAGTAATGACAGTCCAATTGGCGTCACTCCCGGCGACTGTCAGACGACACCTTATAACGGCCGAAGTGACAAAAATGTATAGAGATATAAAGAGAAGCGTCGAAGAGATCAAAAGTAAAAAACCCGGGTTTGAAACTATAATGCTGAGAAATGTAGAGAAAAGGAAGCATAAGAAGTTCCTCAAAGTCGCCAGAAAGAAGATGCTAATGAAAGAAGAGGAAAGCAGGCAGAGAGCCATGAGAACTCGTTACAAGAAGAAAAAATTGCTCCAATCGCAGAAAGCTATAAAAGAACTTCAGTGTCATTTGAGAAAGACGAACGAAATGATAAAGCAGCAAATTTCAAAACCGATCATCAAAACCAATTCGGACGTTTCGAAATCATCTACACTTCATAAATCAGTGCGGAAAGCAGATAAGGCGCAAGAAGCTTCAAAGGCTTCGGGAGGTGAAAGTCTTGGTGGTGTGTCGAATGATCAATTTTACAAAAAAATCACAAGTATGGAAGAAATTCCTATAAAGCTCAAGGACGAAGGATTCAATATAAAGCCTGATTCCGTCATGAAAGTAGAGGTAATTTAACTAAAAACATCACTTAACAGGAAAATAAATATGTTGTTGTTTTAGGTCGGCGAGAGTACTGATTTAATACCAGACGCGAGTAGTATGTTCCTCGACGACAAGGATAACACCTGGAGGAAGAAGAAAAACAAACGGACCAGGAAACGCTCAGTTACGGAAACCGATAACAAGAAGAGGACGGAGATGAAAAGAATAAGCTACTTCGAAAAGATCCAGAAAAAAATAGAAAAGAATGAATTGGTCGAGATGTATACAAAGAGGTTGCACGAGAGGATCATGTCGCTAAATAAGGCCTCGGCCGAGCAGCACCAGTCTAAACAATTAAGAGATTCCATCGGTGAACAATTAGAGTTTCTGGAAGAGATTTTGGCCAAGAGGAAAGAGATAAACTCCAAGCTTGAAGATGAGATGAAGGCCTACGAGGACATACAAGAGCAGATAAAGCTGTCGAAAAAATGGAAAAAGATGAAAAGGAGAAGAGAAAGGGAAATGCTGAAAATGATGGAAAAGGATTTAGTACTGGATTTCCCGGATGACCGTCAGCCGCTTTGGTCAATCACAGGCGATGGCTGGTCATGGACAGGGTACAGAGTCTATTCTTTGGACGATTGTTACCATCCTTGGGGTTTCACCCAAGGTCTAAGGGAGAGGACGCCGTTACAGCTCGGCACAACAAAGTACCCAGCATCTCACACTATATCAGGTTACACGAGTTTCGTCGAATTTACGGAAAACCTCAAAAACGATTATATTAAATCCTTTAACAAGGCGTCAAAACAGAACCTTATTTCAAGCGGATCCTTAGGTAACATCCGTTTGACGAGGTGCGAAAGTTCGATCGGTGACAAATCGATGGGTGGCAATATTGCCAGCAAGGCCTCCAATGCGACGCTGACTCTCTTGATGAAGAAGTTGACAGAAGGGCTCGACGTCCCTCATATACCTGGCAGGATCGCGAGACCAGACCCCTTGCCGGATTTCGTGGATCCCGAAAACGAAGACTTCGTCCCGAGAGAGTCCGGTCCGCCGGCCTTTCCTCTCAGAGAAGACCCGATCGAACCCGAACAAACCTACGGGTACAAGTACGTCGTAAGGCTCATGGAAACGGAGACGCTGACCCTCTTTGAGAAAGAGTCCACGATTGTTTATTCGAATTCTGAAGAAGCGGAAGAACTCAGGATTTTAGAAACTGTAGCAAAAGAAAACAAGAGAAAAAGAGAAACTTTCGAAATTAACGTTAGCGACGCATTGACACAAATTGTGCCCAAACCGCAAGGCAACTTCGCTGCTTTGATTACCGCTCCTGAGAGGAAGTCCATCGGAATTTATGCCTGCATGGGCGATATTCAAAGTTCGCAGGTACTCGAAGCGCCGCAGGAGATCGACCCCAACTTGGCGTACTTGGCCGCTTTGGCTTCTTCGGAGGAGGAGGACGATGACGACTCTTCGCCTCGAGCGATCGTCTGTTCAAAAGCATTCCATGATGTGGCAAATACCATCGAAAGGATACTAAGCACAAATCCCTACCTAGATCACTTAATAGCCTATCAGGTACACAAATTAAAAACAACTATAGTCAAGGTGAATATATTTTATTAATATTGCAGGGTGCTCTTGTTCCGGATCCATACGCGCCGGTCGTCGAGATAAACATTGTCCTTGTATACCTCTGGACGTTCAAATACCCGAAGAAGGTGCACGAACGTAAAATTAAAAGGCAGAGCGTTTCCTCGATAGCGTGGAGCGACAAGCTCGAAGCGGTCATAGCTGTCGGCTACGGGAGCTTCTACAGCACGACGTTCCATTACGGTCTGATCTGCATCTGGAACTTAAAGAACCTCATGAACCCGGAGCGGATCATGACCTACAAGGCGGGAGTGTGCCACGTCGAGTTTTCCTCGAAGCACCCGTACATCCTCAGTTGCAGTTTCCAGGACGGCTTCATCGCCGTATACAACATCTATCCGCAGATACCGTCGATCTTATGCGACAACAAAAAGTGCACGGTCCACGCCGGCGAGCCCGTCTGGCAGGTGTCCTGGATGAACAACAGCATGGGCGAGGAGGTGTTGGTGGCAGGAGGGCAGACCGGCGAGTTCTACGCGTACGCAAAGCAGAGCTTCAGTCGGCCCAACATCCTAATGGCGATCACTAGGAAAGAAGGTATGGTCGTCGGATTCGAAGACACCCAGGGCGTCTGTACCACCCCGAAGCTGAACAGCGTCCCGGCCATCATGTGCTTCGTCCCTGTTCCGGCGGACAAAGAGAACTTCCTCGTCGGGACCGACGACGGGAGCGTCAGAGTGATATCCCTTTTCGCGAGGAATCTTCAGACCGACTTGTTCAATGCGCATCGGGACAAAATCAATCGCATCGAATTCAGCCCGTTTTGTTCCAAGCTGTTCTTCACCGTCGGCGGGGATTTCGCATTGAGGATTTGGGTCTACGGGCTGAAGTCACCCATCTTGTCCTTGGTCGCGAGGGACATGTACATCGAGGACGCTGCCTGGTCACCGGCGAATCCTTCTCTCCTCGTCAGCGTTGGCGGCATTTACATCGATCTTTGGGATCTGGGCCGCTGCGGGATTGGAAAACCCATCGCTACAGCGACGAATCCGAGAAACAAAAGGAACTCCAACGTGAGGTAAAACTTTACAAATGACTTTTTTCCTAATTGACAAAATTTAAATCATATGATATTTTGTAACAGGTTTTCAAACAACGGTAGGAACATCGCTGTCGGTGACATATGGGGTGACGTACATATTTTCTGTTTTGACAAGATGCCTTTCGACCCACTTCTGACCCAAGAGGCTCTACTCAGGTCTTTGGCTAACGCGCTCGCTTTCACCCCTGAAATATTGAACCAGGTCGTCAAAATAGGACACCCTTTTGATCGTTTAAGCAATATTGTTAAAAAGAAAGAGAAAAAAGAAGATGCATATACGGGAAAAAAGGATAAATAAAAAATATCTAATCCTAGGGTTTAACTTTATTATTTTCATCACTTACTCACAACATTCGTCTATAAAATACTTCATCTACATAGGTACAAAACTAACCATTCTAACCTGGTGACAGCCTGAGTTTCCTCCCGCTTTCCAAAAACCAGCAAATGAACAAAACTGTCTATTTATTAGCAGGGGTTCAATATGCTTAAATCAGACTCATACGAGCTCTCATCAATAATGAGAAAGAACAACCTTCCTGCTCATCAACACCCGCAACATAGATTTAATATATGAATTGGACGGAGATAGAACAATACGTTAATAAATATGTCATGCAACGTCAAACAGACTCAACTATCATCACGAGGTCTGGTGTCCGAAAATTAACGGTATGTAAATATGTATGTTATGTAGCTATAATATATCGGTTGACACAGCAGTGGAACGTCAAACACACCCAACGATTGTCAAGAGGTATAGTGTCCAACATTTGATTCAGTACATTCTTTTATATGCATAAGTCTGATGTATAGCGGTTTGTAAATTTGTATGTTGTGTAGCTATAATATATCGGTTGACACTGCAGTGGAACGTCAAACAGACCCAACCATCCTCATGACGTCTGGTGACAAACATTTCCCACAATACGTTTTATATATTCCCAGGTCAGAAATATATCGGTATGTAAGAATATATATCACTATAATATTTTACTTTTAATACTATGACGACTAAGTTAGTTATCCATTGCTATCTGAGAATTATTCGATTTTATATACAGGGTGACTTGCTACTCGTGCTACAAACTTCACCAGTAGATTCTTGACCCTAAAATGAACAAAAAAGTTCATATTGACCATGGTCCGATTCTCAACCATTTCAGAGTAATTTCGCTTTTTATCGATTTTGAAAGATATCACGTCCTGGCGTCGGAAAATCGTGATATCTTTTAATCTAAACATTTCTCTTAAAATCTATAAGCACCGTTGAAATCCCCGTTAATTTTTCAATAAGAAGATGAAGGTGGCAAAACGTTTGGGTCTTTCTTCCTTGACCTTCTAGCTGTTTGTAAACTTCTTAAGCATTACATACTAAATGGGCATTAAATTAAATTAAAAAATTTCAATGGAATTATGATTTTGATTCTCTCTAAAAATTAACGGGGATTTCAACGGTGCTTATAGATTTTAAGAGAAATGTTTAGATTAAAAGATATCACGATTTTCCGACGCCAGGACGTGATATCTTTCAAAATCGATAAAAAGCGAAATTACTCTGAAATGGTTGAGAATCGGACCATGGACAATATGAACTTTTTTGTTCATTTTAGGGTGAAGAATCTACTGGAGAAGTTTGTAGCACGAGTAGCAATTCACCCTGTATATATATATACACATCATATAAACTCAGTTGATACAGCAGTGGGAGATCATAAAGGCCCATCAACAGGATGTCTCGTCAATTGACACATTTTTTATAAGCATAGGGCATGATTATAGGGATTTCATAAATATACATGTATTTAATGTCACCCTACCTTCTGACGTCCGTTATAAATATCTTTGTGGGGCGTTAAAAAAAGACAACCCATTTCAGTTGGCTGTTCATATGTCACATTTGTCATTATATGTGGCAATTTCGCATTTCCTTCATCCAGATTTCATTCTAACCTCCGTTTATAAAAAATATAACCACCTGATTTGTCTAACCACTGACACAAATATCGAAACGCATTTGACATAAAATCAGGGAGTAGGTGGACCAAGACGACCGGAAGCAATCGGATTACGGGCCCATCACCTCGCATACCTCGATATCTCACGAATTTACTGGAAAAACATTTTCTTTACTGTCACACTTCTTTATCATTATAAATATAAATATACGAAAATTCTATAGGATTTAATAAAACGACAGACTTATCAGCAATTTAGCCATGTGATTAAGCTGAAATAGTAGGTTTTGAGATTAACGAGTCAAACGATCTAGATGATATCAGCAGCAGGAAATGGCCACAGTTTTTCGCTAACTTTGTAATAATAAAGGCAAGGAAAAATCTAGGAAATATCAACCCACGTCTGAGTAGTAAACAAATAAAATAATGGACCCGAAGATAGAAGTTGGACGGGCGTTATTAAACTCTTTCCATCCCATCGCCGATGCTTATCTAAGCGACGTAACAACGTTCACACCGTTTCACTCCCCCGTGGCGTGCCCTTCCATCTGATAATTTTATAATTTATGAATTTTTCCCGACTCCTGGTGAAATTCGATTATAGGGTTTCGTGGGGGGGGGGCTTAGGTAAGAGAGAGAAAAAGAAAAGAAGAAAGCCGAGGTTGAATACCGAATTCACATCGACATCAACTGTTCCCTTTATAGAGATTCACCGTTATATATTATTTACTTGCGGAGGAGTGAATCGGAAAAGACGAGCTTTGGAATTTTATGAGAAAAGCCCCAGGTGAAACTTAACCTACGACGATCTTCAACTTGCAGACCAAAGCTACTACGATTATAGTCCCTGTACCAAATTTAATTTTCAATACATAATTAAATATCTGATCTCGGTTGATAAGGTCGGCAAATCTTTACCGTGATTTGTCTGGTGTTCATTACATGTAACAATTACGTCCCCTTCTTTCATCTTTCATCATTCTGCTATTCTGACATCAGTTTATAAAAACCCCATTAGGACACCAACTAATCATCCGATAAAAATCTGCGATAACTAATCACATTTCGCATGTAGATTGAAAATGTACTCTTAGTTTCAACAGTTTTATGACCGAGAATCAGACATAGCATAGAAAACACTTCTGATGTAAATTGTATTCTTTTATCTATATACCTCTTCAATCATAATCTGTAACATCAATAACATTTAAAAATAGACAGTAAAAAAATTGTATTATACGTGTTTTAAAAAAAGTCTGGAATTATGTAAACTTTATTTGTATGAACGAATGCTCTTTAAATGTAAGAAAGGACTATAAGATCTAATTTTGTATGATTTTATAAATAAAATGTTCAATTCTCAAAATAAATGTTCAATTCTTCATTCTGTTCTTTCTCTCGCTCGCACGAACTTTCACTACCTCTTTGCTGTTCGTCTTCTTTTTTTATCTCTCTCTTTCTGTCCACTTTCTTTTGCTATAACTTTGATTTCCTCATATACTTTCCTATTCTTCTCATTCATTCCACACCCTCTCTCTCTCTCTTTTTCTTCTATTCTTTTTTCCTCTAACTGACGATTCCGTTTCGTCCTTCTTCATCTTATCTCTCTCTCTCCCTCTTTCTTTATTTTACTTTGCATAAGTAATGTAAATTGTATCACTTTTTCTTTGCCTTTTTTTACTTTCTTTTCCAATTTCTCATCGTCTCTTTCTCCCTCCCTCTTTCTCTCACTCTAACATTCACTTTCTCTTTGTTTTTGTTCTTCTTTTCCTTCTCTCTCCCTCTTTCTTTCTCTCTCTCCCTCTATCCCTATTTAATTCTTTCACTATCTGTGCCTTTCGCCCTCCCTCTTTCTCTCACTCTAACGTTCACTTCCTCTGTGCTTTTCGTCTTCTTTTACTCTCACTCTTTTTCTCTTTCTCTCTCTCTCTCTCTCTCTCTCTCTCTCTTTCTTCTTTTTCTTCTTTTCTTCTTTTTTTACTTTCTTTTCCAACTTCTTATCGCCTCTTTCTCTCTCTATGTCTTTCGCCCTCCCTCTTTTCTCGCTCTAACGTTCACTTTCGCTTTGTTTTTCTTCTTCTTTTACTTTCTCTCTCTCTCCCTCCCTCTTCACTATTTCTCTCGCTTTCTGAAAATATTCAGACTAAAAGGTTTTCATTTTAAAATGTCATTTTGTTAAAAAAAATTTTTTTGTACCACACTTTCATTTGACAATCAATCTTGACATGCTAAATCATCGGTCATTGGTCATATGATAGCCGGAGGGGAAAAACGCTGCAAAACTTTATTTGTTCAAAACCCTGCTTTATGTTTATTAACGAACAAGTAAAGGCTTGTTTTCCATTTCAATTCAATTTATAATATAATTCCTTTCCCCGTCGATGATAAAGGCCACATTTGCCGGGGGTGAAAAATGTGTTCCAGGAATGGATCACATTTGATATGGAGTTTTATGAAAAACCGCCCAGATCTTTTCACTTCAGTTAGGAATTCGGCCCTTGTAATAATATTAGAAAAACATGCGAGGGTTTCTCCGGTTTCTTTTATTCTTAAATATTTTTCTCTTCGATCACGTTTTCACTGTGATCAGATGATCACTGAACAAACCAGCGATCATACTCGAGTTGTCATAAGTTCAGTTCACCCCGGCATGCTCATTATAAAGGTTGAACGTCAACACACCTGTCATTATTTAAAAAGGCTTCGTTTTTTCCGTTTAAGCATGTCTTAGATTTTTGCACTGGTCAGCTCAGATGGGGTCAGATTAACGTTTGTTGTTGTCCCGCGTCCATGGCGATACTTGGCGATGGTACTGCTCGGCCCGGCAAAAATGATCGACGATCTTGATTTTTTGTTGACGTTAATTTAACGCTCTTAAATGATAAAAATTGGACGAAATGCTGGCACTTTCAAACTAGACCCTTAAAAAGGGAAGGAAGATTGAATAGATTCAAAATATATATAAAGGTATAGTTAAAATGAAGAAAGACATGTGGATAAACAGAGATGATATTTAACAGATAATAATATTAGAGTGTATTTATATAGAGATACGAGGAAAGGGCGATAGAGAACGACGAGACAGAATGATGGTGATAGATAGAAATAGAAGAAAGAAGAAGAAAGATAGGAAAAGACATAAATAGAGATAAAGATAAATATATAGATATACAGATGAAGAGATAGAGAGTTGGATAGATAAGGGGATAGTTAGGTACATTGATAGAGGGCGAGAGTGAGAGAGAGAGAGAGAGAGAGAGAGAGAGAGAGAGAGAGAGAGAGAGAGAGAGAGGGTGAACGAAGGGAAAGAGCGATACGGAAAGATAGAAATATGTAGATA